CCAAATCTTGTGAATTTTTTTTTTTTTTTTTTTTTTTTTTTTTTGTTGTTTTTTTTTTTAAATTTTTTTTTTTTTTTTTTTTTTTTTTTTGAAATGTTGTTCATTTTATGCAGCTGAACCGGATTTATGTCTCAAGTTCAGTAACTTAAATTTATATTGATATGAGGTGAGTTAAATTTTGGTATTTAGAGCGAGGAATGGCTAATGATTGATTTTGGTGGATGCATAGAAAATTAATGGACAATTTGACGCGTGATGAGTAGATATTGAGATATTGAATCAAAGAGTAGGAGTGTGAAGATGAGCGAAGGCCAGCGATTCCAGCTGGGGACGGTCGGGGCACTGAGTCTATCTGTGGTTTCCTCGGTGTCGATTGTGATTTGCAACAAGGCTCTCATTAGCACTCTTGGCTTCACTTTTGGTGAGAATTCGATGGATAAAATTCAGTAGTTTTATTATAATAATGCTAATGCACGGTCATCCGTTTATTATTGCCTCTGACCTTTTATGTTGTTTTCGGGTATTTCTCTTTGAAAACTTTGTTTTCATAAATTTTGTGTGCAATGACATAATTTTGTTGGAAAAAGTAATATTTTGGTTTTGGTAACACACGGATGGACAAATTGAGCGAAATGAGAAAATTGTATGTTGTTTCCTACTTTTGTTGGAGGAATCTTGAGCTCGAGCTAATATTGGATATTTGTGTAAACAAAGGAGTTGAAAGATTATGCGTTGCTTGCTGCCAGCTAAGCAAACTCATTCTATAATCGATCTGGAATGTTTTTATTCTGGGTTCTGCGTTTTTTTTTCTCATTTTTTGTTTTAGTTTGAATGATGACTCATTTATTTCAGAAACTCGTAATATTGTTTAAATTTGGCAATTTGAACTGGATATGAAGCATTTGAAAGAAACCATGAGTGAATTAGTGCATTTAGGCTGCGAGGCTTGAAATGTGTGAAGATGATACTACTTGCTTGCTGGTCTTATTCATATAGAAATGATGACCTCAAGGAACTATAACATCATCAACTGAAAACCCAAGTACCCATCAAATGATAATAAAACACCTTGAACAACATTCCCCCTGGCCCACTGAAGATCCAGCAACTGAAGGAAATGGCATTCTCTTCTCAACTATCAAATGCAAGGGCAAAGGATTATACTTAAAAAATCCAATATCTAATTTTCCTGAAAAATTAAGTTTTAAACCTTAAAATCACTATTAGTTTTCTGATAAAACAGATGACAAGGAAAAATGGAAATAAAAAGAAGGAAAACGGAAAAGACAACGTCTCCTGGTGAAGTTGTGACTCGTGAATGATCAGTCTCTACCTGCCAGTGCTTGTCACAAAAGTTTCAGCCCATTATCTTTCGCATGATGAGGGAATGTGAAATTGTGAGAGTCTGGATCATTTGTAATGCACATGTAGCTTACTTTAAAAAACATGCCATATTTACTTTCAAGCTAATTTTGCCAACAAAAAAAAAAGGCTTCATCTAACTTGCTGCTGGTAGGGTAAGGTGGCAAGAAACATGCACACACATACTAAGCTGAGTATATGTAATGTTTTTCTAATCATAGTAAGAATAAGAACAATGATTAAACTAGGAGATCATGTCCCATTGAGAAATTTTTAAAGTTATTTAGGTTAAAAGTATTAACAAAGGAGGAGGACCTGAAGAGGATGCACATCACGGGATTAGATCGAGTTGCTGATTATAGAAACAAGCTACAGGTTCTAATGTTATAAGAAGCTATCCACTAAGTGAAAAGCAAAATTTAGTGGACCAACTATTAAACTAGCTATGTTTATGGTATTGAGTTTTATACCATTAAAGGATGACATGTTCATATGATGAATATAGATAAATGAGGATATAATATGTGATCCATCTGAAATTGATAAAATAAGAAAGATGCTAATTGATGAAAAGGGGAATATTGCCTTAGGTGACATGTCTTGTATAGACCTAAATAAGCTATCACTTACAAGAATTCTACTACTATTGTAGTAGAACTAGTTAGAAAAAGGAAAAGTAGACCAAAATTGATATGGCTTGAGATGGTCTTGAAAAATTGACTTTGTGAAACCTTCTAGTAAGAGGTGTCCAAGCCTCAAACATAATGGCATAAAGAAATTCACCTAGGCAACTCTATGTTTATTATGAATGAGGCTAAGTAATTATTGTTTTGTGTGTGTGGGCATGCAACCATTCTTGATATCTAAGTTTCATGAGTTGAAAAGATTCTTCTTTTGCTCAAATTTGATGACAAATTTTATCTAAAGTTTTTGGGTTTTCTTAAAGAAGGACCTAAACTTCAAACACCGTTGAAGGGATATGAAACAATATAAATGAATTCTGTAACACTTTATGTCTATAATCTTGACAATTATGGTGCAGAACTTCCCATGTTATAGTTTGCTTCTTAGTTTTCAGAAAATCAGATGAAAATATTCTCTTTAAAGAAAATAAGAGAAATTTGTTGAACCTTCTACATCCTGCATTTTTGTAGCTTGTGCATCTTAGCCCCTGTTTTGGCTCCATTAATTTCAAAATATATTTTTCTCTCTTATTTTCAACTACACATTCTCTAATAAAATAATATAACACGTAAACTCAAAGCTTTTCCTTCTTTTTAACCATACATTCTTCAAAAAATCACTATTACAAAATGCATTTTCCCAAAATCTAATTATAATGAAGCTCAATCAAGGGCTTAGGAACATGGAAAAAAATCAGGTAGTTCAACATTTTCAGTAGCCCTGTCATTATGATTTCAATTACTGCTGAAGTAGTAAAGGGCCTTGCAAAATCAAAGAGTGAGTACGACAGCACTGACTGTAAGAAATTGTACTTCCTACTTTCTATACTTTCCCGATATGCCATTTCATTTGAACAAATAATTTGTAAATTACGCCAAATTATATTGATAAAAAAAAAATAGCTGATTGAAACTAACAAATATATAGAAGCAAGAATATTGGGACAAGGCTTAATTTGTTGATGAAAACCAGAAAATTACAATGAAACTGAATTTATTAATGGAAAATCAATTAGTGAATGACACAATAGAGTTTCAGTTTATTGACTGATTGACTTTTATTCTCGAAATAGGTCGCGTTCTCTCTTCTTGCTGGCATTCAATGCTTCCAACTGCCGACATGATATGATGTTGAGTTGGAGTATGCCAAGAGCTTCTTCTTATGGAATTCATTATGCACAATCTTTGATGTTCTATTTTAAGCTATTATTATCTACATGTTTAACTTGCAATTGTAACAAATACTGTAGAAAGTTGACCAACTTTTGCAATCAACATTTTATTCCATTGGGCAAGATAAATATGTTGCAAAATGGAATTTTGTCACCAATAAGCATAATTCATGGTAAAATGTGAAGACACAGGAATGCAACCATGTCTGAATTTGAAATGAACTTCATCCACTTTCCTTATGGATGACGAGGAAAGGAACGATGTTAATGTTTTAATTGATTTTTTCAAATTTTCTTTTGAAGTACGTTATCCCCAATGCTGCTACATATTCTATTAGCTGACCAAGGTTATGTGAAGTCTAGCATGATTTTAGGAAACAACCTGCCCAGACGCAATGGTTGTAAAATCCTTTAACCGAGTTGTGTTTGAGTCATTGAGTTTGTTGTATTCTTCAACCTTTTCGGTTCAATTGAAAACACTTGCAATATTGGATAACCACTAATCTTAGCTGTGATATGTCTTATCTCTATCAATGACCTTACAACTCATGCTAGTTATGTAGAACGTTTTAATTCAAGAAATCATTAACATTGGTCCTTTATCCATTATACTTTCTCAGCTACAACTTTGACAAGCTGGCATCTTCTTGTCACATTTTGTTCTCTTCATGTGGCCTTATGGATGAAATTATTTGAGCACAAACCTTTTGATTCAAGAGCTGTCATGGGATTTGGAGTACTGAATGGAACATCCATTGGACTTCTAAATCTTAGCCTGGGTTTCAATTCTGTTGGATTCTATCAGGTTCAGTTCGCTCATTCTGTGTAAATTATATTTTTATTACATAAATGTTTGTCAGGTCTTTTCGCAATTGAATGGTTGGTGATTATGCCTTTCTACAAAGAAATAATCATCACCTGATAAGTTCAAAAGTCATGAGTATGTCCATCAAGTCCTTGGGCTGATATCGAATATGGTTCATGTCTAATAGAGGGATTTGTATTTTGAATGATCATGTGGTGGTTAAGAGTTGAGACAAGTAATAGACTAGTACTAGGATAAAGATCAACGTAAAATCACATGGAATGAGTTACTGAACAGGTCACGAACCTTTATGGTTTAACTTTGGAGTTGATCCTTGATATAGCGGAGTGGAAAAGGTGATCCATGCTGCTGATCTCAATAACCAAAGAAAAAGGCTTTTGTTGAGTTGAGTTGAATTTACGCTACCCCAGTTCACTATAGGAATTCATGTCGGAGTCTAGTGCATGTACATGAATAACAGAACAGTCCAAGTCACATACAGCCAACCATAGTAGCTTCTTTTTCAAAATAATAGCCTAATAGCGAAAGGAGTTGTGTCAGCATCTGCCTTGACATCATGCAGTTGAAGTATCTACGTGGTTCAGTTATCATTTAGCTAGTAAACATTATAGTCTACTTTGTTGTTACGAGGTTTTTTAAGATAATATTCTCTTCTGAGTTCATTTCTGCCACACTTTTATTTCATAATACATATCCACATCTATAACTCATCTAAGTTATAGTTCTAAATCTCTACTTCTTGTGGTTTTTGCATTACAGATGACTAAACTAGCAATTATTCCCTGCACGGTTCTTTTAGAGACTCTTTTCTTCTGGAAAAAATTCAGGTTAAATATTTGCATCTGTTTTTCAGATTTATCTTACTTTGTTTTTACCATCTATGAGAAAGGGGGTGGTTTTTACATGGATTTTGTGTCCTCAGTTATGCGGACATCGACCCAAATTAATTTACTTCTTGTTTTATTTATTGATGTCTTTTTTATTTCATTGGGCTTGTCTAGTGGGTCTAGCCCAAGCCCCGTGAGTAGTAGGTTTCTTTTGTTATTTATATGTTGGTAACAAGAATTGCAAGACAATTTGATGAATGAATTAAATTGTGTTTGGTTTGTGGCCACGTTTTCCCTCTCCTTCTTCCCCTATTTCTCTGTTTCTCCCTTCTCCCTCCCCTTCCTAACAGTCCTTTTCTCTTCTTGTTCTTCTTGCTGTGGTTAATTCTTGTTCTGACTTATTGATCATACATCACTCAGCTATGAGCAAATATTCTTCCTCGTTAGTCCGAATATAAACCCTTTATATATTCATTCTTGTATCAGTGTTACTAGTTGTTGTTGATTATATATAAGAAATTATAGAGCAAGTTACAGAATCTCCCTTGAGGTTTCTGACTAGTACAAACACCCCTCCCTTTCCAAAAGCTACAAAAACCTTCCTCAACGTTTGTTTTTCATGACCAATTCTCTCCAATAACTCACACACACACACATCCTATTTTACCCTTTGTACTGTATTTTAACATGTTATTATATATTTAAACTACATTTTTTTTCGTATTTTCATATATTCGATTAGTCTGGGTATTTAGTTTATATTCTTAATATTTATACTAGGTTTAGTTTGGAAATAAAATAATGTTATCATAATACTGAAAATGCTACAATATTGATATTGAATAAGGTTCAGAGTATAGATTTACCTTTGTTCCCCCTTTTGTCAATTTTGGATCAAATTTGTTCATGCCTTCTTTAAAAAATTTCGTCTTTAACAAAAACTCTTATTCTACAGAATCACTTTGTGTAAAAAGAGAATATTAAAACTCTTTAAACTAATAAATAATGTTCTTAACTAATTTAAAAATAATAAAAAAGAAACATATTGTCTTTTTGTCTGAAAATTATTAGAAAATTTTTAGGAGGAATAATAATGGGTCCCACAAAATGTGTGAATAATAATAAATGGATAGCAGTTTCAAATGTATGGTCAAAATTAATTGGATAGGAAAAGAAAAATTATTAGTAACTTTTTAGGAAACACGAACATGGACAGATAGTTTTGAATTTTACATAGAGACATGAGAGTAATGTGAAAAGTGTATTTATTTTTGGCTGCAGAGGAGGTTTCTCTAATTTTTGAAAAGGCAGGGGTGGTGTCTCTCTATTTGTCAGTAACCTCAGGGGAGGTTAGTTTAATTTGCTCTAAATTATGTCATACTGAAGTGAATAGGACTATATCTGTGTTTATTTATGAGTTTCGTGTTTCATCTCCCCCAAACAACAAGTTTCAAGTTGTCACCCTTTCCATGATCCACAATTGTACACATTCTACATAATTTTCTAGAGATTATAGTGATTATGGTGATACTTAAAGAAATCATGTATGCTTATGGATTTTGTCAAATATTTATAATCTGCTTGTTTTCAAATAAGAGGAGTTATAAGTAGTCTCTTTGCTAATACTGAGGTTCATTTGACATGTTTAAGGGTGTGAAGGCATGGTTTTTTGCTTTCTTATGGCAATCATGGTTTTGAGTATATGTCCTATGCAAGTTATCTCACTTTTAGTTGAACATGTATGCTTATTCCAGCTGGAAACTACGGATTGATACGTTCAATTTGACCTTCTTCAAGATTGACATTTTCGAAGTTTTTCTTTTCTAGTATTTTATTTTGGAGGTAAGGGAGGGGGGTGGGTTGGGGTGGAGTATCACTTCCTAGATAGACAGTAGACCTTCAAATTTGTCAATTTCAAGTAAAATTTCTTAAGAAAACACAAGGTTATTAAAATATGTATATTCTTTCTTGGTGGAAGAAGATATAGTTGGTGATTCTCTAGTAGTAGATGCGTTAAAGCAAGCCTTTTCGCTACCTTTTCCTTTCATCTCAAAGTAATGCTGTACCGGTTGAGTTTTCATTCAAGGTAATACAATTGCTACTGACACCAACTCCACCAGTTCATTTTTGTTGAGATCGAAATGTAGGATATGACAGGTGACTTTTGATAGTATGCTTTTATTAGATTGAAACTATCATGGCTAGTTAATAAGGATGTAGTTGCTTTTGGATATTCCAGTAGATGTAACAATGAATAGAAGGATACATGTGCATATTCTAGTAAAGTAACAAAACTGGAGCATTCTAGTCAGATCTTTAATAATCCATTTATGACTATACCCCTTTAGCTCCACTGCAATAGATTTGATCCCTTCATCATCTTCGAGAAATGTATGATTCTAAGACGCCTCCATGCTGGTATAAATCCTGTGTTCAAGGTTGACTCACAATAGTCTGCCTTGTGCCAGACTGGTATTGAAACCTTTTGAAGGATTTTCCTTGTCTGCATGGACGACTAGTGTTTCGTGAAATTCCGACAATAAACAGTTATCTAGTATATGGTTTAATATGAGCGAGCTAAGAGTAACTAGTTAGCATTTTCCACTTGGCAAAATATTTGGTCCATTGATACTAAACTTCATTTGGAAAATTGAGAATGTTCTCTTAGCTTTAAAATCTTCGTGCATTGAGTGCTTATTGGCTCAGAAACTTACCGTTTCCTATTTTGCCAATTATGCAAGTTATGGAATCAACTATCATGTTCCAACCACATTCCTTTTTTTCTTAGTGCAGTGTGCAATGCTTTTGTAGTCAAGTTTTATTTTTTCATCTTTAAGCATTATATAATATACAGTATATAGAATACTTTCTACATATTTTGTTTGCATGTATTTGGTTCCAAGTTTGATTTCTAATACCTTCTTGACCGCCATCTGCAGTAGGAATGTCCAGCTTTCACTTACTGTTCTTCTCTTGGGTGTTGGAATTGCAACAATTACTGATCTGCAGCTCAATGTCCTGGGTTCCGTATTGTCTCTTCTTGCTGTTGTTACAACTTGTGTTGCACAAATTGTATCCTCAACTATTTTCTGCATTTATCACTCCCTATAAATAAATAAACAGTTTTGGAATCACCTAACGTACTTTTATATAGAAGATTTGAATTATTAAAACTAACCTGAAGAAATTAGTAGTTATTATATATATAGACACACACACTTCTGTATGTATCATGTTTGGAATCTTCACTAAATCCTAAGGGATAACCGAGTGGTCAGGGCCTTGGGTTTGCTCTCCAATGGTCACCAGTTCGAGTTCTCTCAATACCACTAAGGTGAGTACTTGACTGTAAGTTTTAGGACCTCGCGAGATTAGTCGAGGTGCGCGTAAGTTGATCCGAACATCCACGTTCATTAAAAAAAAATGTTTGGAATCTTAACTGAATGCCCTCAGATGACAAATACCATCCAGAAGAAGTTCAAGGTTTCTTCAACCCAACTCCTGTATCAATCTTGCCCATATCAGGCAATCACTCTGTTTGTAGCTGGTCCATTTTTAGATGGGCTTTTGACGAATCAGAATGTATTTGCTTTCAACTATACCCCTCAAGTGCTGGTGAGGATTGAAAATGTTTTTCCATACACTTGTTTGATATTGTACAGTAGATTGACTTCACATGTTTTATCTACAGGCGTTTATTGTCCTTTCCTGCCTAATATCAGTTTCTGTAAACTTCAGCACCTTTTTGGTTATTGGAAAAACGTCACCCGTCACTTATCAGGTCCTAGGGCATCTAAAAACATGCCTTGTATTGGCCTTCGGCTATGTTCTTCTACATGACCCCTTTAGCTGGCGGAATATTTTAGGGATCTTGGTCGCTGTAGTCGGGATGATACTGTATTCTTATTACTGCACTATCGAGAGCCAGCAAAAGACTGTTGCTGAAGCAACTGCGCAATTGTCCCAGGTAATCATATTCCTTGGTTATAATGTATATTAACAATTTGCTACCATTTTCTTTATTTCCATAATACGTGACGTTCTAACTCTTAACTTCACTTTGTTGAAGGCCAAGGAAAGCGAATCTGATCCTTTATTGACTGTCGAAAATGGAAGTGGTATTTTAACAGATGGCAGCGTTGCAAAAGTCCCAGGATGGAATTCAAACAAGGACTTGCTGGCATAAATTTTTTCTCAATATCTATACATTCACCTTGTTTAGAATATATGGATGAAATAAGCGTTTCCATATTTTGATTATTTAGATTAAACTTTTGTTGGGTATTATTAGAGTAATAGGATATGCCTTTAAATGTAGCAGTTTGTAAAAACTAGAGATCGAATTGATAATTCCTATTGGTTACCAAATGCTAAATGAGAATCCTTAATATACTTATATTTCTCGGATTACATTGTTTTCGTGAAGAAAATGGAGTTGCTGCTTTAAATATGAATCCAGTTTAATGAATTTCTATTGGGTACAAAGAAATCTGGCGTGGAGTTTTTGGATTGGAGGAAGCTCGTGAATTTTCAAGCTATACAATAGCTGAAAATCTCCTTCAACAACAGTATTTTCTACTCAAAACAAAGGTAAACCAAATTGTATTAATTTGTCAATAGCACCTCCTCCAGCAGGTGTCTTTGTTACAAAATAGAAAAGATAAGAAACGAATAGCAGGGTTTTTGCTTTTGTTTTCACTTTTTGTAGAACTTCTTGACGAATTTACTTAAATAATGTTTGAAAATTAATTCTTGAAAGAGTTTTCTCTTCTGAATTTATTATTATTATTATTATTATTATTTTTTTAAAGGAAGTCACATTTGATCAGTTTCTCTCTCGATCTCCAATAGTTCCGCCTTCGAGGCATCCACTGGGGTCTTCCCCCTAGGTCTCCTGTAGTTTCGCTTATGAGGCATCCACTAGTGCTTGAAATGAGCTCTTCTTCTTTTCCAAAACATAAAAAATTGAGGGACGGAAACCATTGCTTTGAGGGGGAGAGAGCGTGATTTTCTAGTAAACAGAAGTGGTTTATCTATATTCTCATTATCCTTCATGTGTACAAATTTACTTGTATAGCATAAATTTGATCAATCATCACATTTCTATAAGCATGTTTACGCACTAAAAGCCATTCTATTTAGAAGAAAGATTTTAATAAAATTAACCAAATGGCCCCAAGTTATTATATTGCCACGTATGAACCACCAAGACAAATGACGTAAAATTAAGGACAATAAGTAATAGGGAAAATTGCAGCAGCGATACTAAACCTTTCGTTTATTAGCAGACTTTGCCCAAACCTTCATTCTGTGCCAGCGAAGGTCCCAAACCTTTCATAAATATACAGCCGAAGTCCAGATGGAGGGAATCCATCCATTTCACTGTTAGTTGACCAAGGAACTGACTTTGACTCCAATTTTGACCATATTAGTAAGGGCAAAATAGTAACTTGCATATTATCCCATTAATTAAATAAGTTAAATAGATAAACCATAAATAAATAAAAAATGAAAGAAAGAAAATGTGGGCATCATCTTCTTCCTCCCCTTCCCCCCCC